AACAGGCTCGTCGCAAGCACGTCTCTGGCAAGATCATCGGTTACTTTTACTAGATGCCCTCCTGCGGCAATTCGGGACCTTGTCGGGTGTGAGAGACTTGGCGAATGATACGGCACATTGGGTTCTGATGTTGAAGGCTCTTGGTAGAAATACGTAGAGAAGAATGACAGAACCACACGAGATTCTTTTTGAATCTCCCTATACACTGATTTGCCATCCTCAAGTGACTTGTTTACCCTGCTTCTTTGAGTAGACCATAAAGTGAACATACACTGATGCATCTGTGAGCACCATGTTTGACGCTCAACTTAAAGGCAATTTCGGAAATGGCAACTCAATTTTCTCCGTAGACCAGTCATGACGGGGCCTTCTAGTGCATTTTTGAGAGTTTGCCATGTCCAGAATTACCCCTCAATCAATATCTTGGATTCCGTCCAAGCTTGCTGAAGAATGTGGATAGCACACCAACGCACATCAGTCCTTAGTTTATAGCATGCATGACACGTCAGTAGCTTACTAGAAGGTTCGTTACTACGCAATGAAAAGCAAGGCGAACTTCAGTAGGGCAGATTGAATGCTTTGATCAAATGTAAGGAACATTTCATGGCGTTGGAGCTTTGACCCTGCAGTTGAGCTGAAGGCTTGCAGCTACAGTTGGAATGTAAGAGCAGTCCCTTGCGCGTGACATCTGTTCTTCTCAATCTGAAGGGAGTATTTTTCAAAAAAGACAGATTTGTGGCTGATGATTTGACGTTAGAAATAATTTGAAGTAATTCTTGATTTTTGATAGTGTTTTGTCCCGTGTTAATTAATTCTGAACTATTTCTTGGCTGTAGGTGTTGATCTTCATGCGTTTTGATGTTGGTGTGGCTGCAGTCTGTTTCTGGGGCAATGGCGCAGATTGGGCGTCAATAAAGAGAACCGGGCCGCTCGAATGACAACACACCACAAGAGTCATAAGCCAGGAACGTCTATCTTGGAGGGTCTGTGGCACAGCATCTAAACCCATTTAACTCTGGATATAACTCTTGTCTTTCCCAATTCGACAAAACACCTGCACTACCTATACCTATCAATCTCTCGTACAGACAAACAAACTGTAAGTAAGGTCCCTGAAAATCAGACCCCATATTTCTGTTCTGTCCCGCCGTCATTTCAGGCACTTCAATTTCAACCCCTGCAAATCAGGTGACGGGGCGCTTGTTGACTTTCAGTCTGTCCCCCCTCCAAAAAAACGAACATGACCATTTGATCGTCCCTCACCCAAACCAAACAAACAAGGATCTGGGAACAAATAGAGTCCCTTGCCTGTTCTTACCTCACACTGCCCTGCCCTGCTTCCTTAGTTATTTTGGCAGTTGCTTCTTTGTTGCCCATGCTTGTTCCTCTGCAGATTTGGATTGGATTCACTAACCTTGCGCTGGGCTCTGCTTTATAGAAAGAACGACGCACTTCTGCTTTGTTTCCTCTTGAACATCCACCCATTGCCCTTCACTCACGCGACAAAGCCTCTTCCCTCTATTTGATACCCGCAGTTCAATCCGCTGCTTTAAAACTCTGGTACGTTCAACTCACATTCCCTCGATCATCATCAAGTCAGTTCTTGCTCCTGTAGAGCGTCTCGCGCGCTTATGAGAGCCCAACTAGAGCTATATATATGATGGATCCTCCTCGCCGCTCTCGTTTATTTCATAAGCTAATTACCCGCTTAGTCCGCTGCATAAAGCACAACAAGAAGAAACAACATCATCCACTCGAAAGATACCCCGTCTCGAGCTCTCCAGAATACACATTTTCACCCTCAAACATTACCATGGCTGAAGAAGAAGATTTTAGCTCCATACCCTTGGCGGACCGCTTCACTCACAAGGTCTGGAAGGTTAGAAAAGGAGCATATGAAGAAGCAACCAAGCAGTTCGAAAAGTCTCCCGACGAGTCCGATCCTTGTTTCCGACCTTTTTTGAACGAGCCCGGCCTGTGGAACAAAGCAGTTCTCGATTCAAATGTCGCCGCTCAACAAGAAGCCGTCACCGCCCTATGCGCATTCCTCAAATATGGTGGACGAGACTGCTGTCTACGGACGCGAAATCAGACCATTACACCTATGGTCGAGAAGTGTCTATCCTCCACACGTGCCGCAATCAAGCAAAATTCCATCGAAGCTTTGCTTTTGTATATTGAGCTCGATGTCGCTGGACCGGTCATTGAGGACATGCTGCCCGGTCTTTCCAACAAGGTTCCCAAGAACGTTGCTGCGACACTGAACGCCCTTACACAAATCTTCCACAACTATGGCTGCAAGGTTGTCGATCCCAAACCTGTGCTCAAAGCGCTCCCCAAAGCCTTCGGTGCTGCCGACAAGAACGTCCGTGCTGAGGCAACGAACTTGACAGTCGAACTTTACAGATGGCTCAGGGAGGCTATGAAGCCCATGTTCTGGGGCGAACTCAAGCCTACCCAGCAGACCGATTTGGAAGCGCAGTTTGAGAAGATCAAGGCCGAAGGCCCTCCTAAGCAAGAACGACTCCTCCGATCGCAACAAGAAGCTCTCGACGCTGCTCCCGAAGGTGGCGAGGAGGGTGAGGAAGGCGAAGCAGAGGGCGATGAGGTTGGCGAGGTGGACGCTTTCGATTTGGCTGAACCCCAGGACGTTAGCAAGAAGATCCCGCCCAACTTCAGTGACCTGCTCGCCTCCTCGAAGTGGAAAGACCGAAAAGAAGCAGTCGACGGTCTCCACCAGGCGCTCAACGTTCCTCGCATCAAGGAAACCGATTTCAACGAAGTTTGTCGCGGATTGGCCAAATGCATGAAGGACGCCAACGTTGCCGTCGTCACTCAAGCTGCTCTCTGTATCGAGGCTCTCGCCAAGGGCTTGCGAAAGGCCTTTGCCAAGTATCGCAGTATTGTGATGCAGCCCATCATGGATCGACTCAAGGAGAAGAAGGCTTCTGTTGCGGATGCTCTCGGCGCCGCTCTCGACGCTGCTTTCGCCTCCACTGATTTGACTGAGTGTCTTGAGGACATTACCACATACCTTGGAAACAAGAACCCTCAGGTAAAGGAGGGTACCATGAAGTTCTTGATTCGCTGCCTACGAAACACCCGAGATGTGCCCAGCAAGCCCGAGCAAGCTACCATCTGCGAGGCTGGAAAGAAGCTCCTCTCTGAGTCAAGCCCTGCTCTTCGAGATGGCGGTGCTGAGATTCTTGGTACCATCATGAAGATTATTGGTGAGCGTGCTATGACCCCTAACTTGGAAGGCCTGGATGACATCCGCAAGAACAAGGTCAAGGAATTCTTCGAGGCCGCCGAAGTCAAGGCAAAGGAGAAGCCGAAGCCCAAGGCGGCACCTGCACCTAAAGCGGCGCCTCCCAAGAAAGTCATGGGTGGAAAGAAGCCTATGGCCAAGAAGGCTGCTCCCGCTGCCGCTGCGGCTCCAGTCATGCCAGACGATACTCCTCCCACTCCTCAGCCAGCCGCTCGACCTGCTGCTGGCAAGCTCGGAAAGCCTACACTTGGAGGATTGAAGGGTCCTCAGAAGAGGACGCTTGGAGCTCCGGCACCTGGCTCTCCTCGCCGAGCGCCCGCTGCCCCTGTCATGCCAGATGACGAGCCTGCGCCACCCGCTCAACCTCGTCTTGGTCTCTCTCGTGGACTTGCCGGACGCTCTCTCGCCAAACCTACTGCACCCTCACCCCCAGTTGCACCAGCCTCGCCGCCTCCATCTAGCGGTCTCACTGCTGTGGAGCGTGCCGAGATTGAGGAGCTTAGAGCAGCCAACGACCGGCTAACCCGTCAAGTTGATGATATGCGACAGGAACGTAGCAAGTTCATGTCAGAGATTCAAGAGCTCAAGAACCAGAATGCTGGCCTGATTGAAGACCACACCCGAGACGTCTTGAGCATCAAGGCCAAGGAGACACAATTGGTCCGCGCGAGAAGCGATGCAGAGGCTACGGAACAGACCAATGACCGCCTGCGGCGCGAGCTAGAAAGACTTAAGAAGGCTTTGAGCCGCGCTGAAGGATTGGGTAGCTCTGGAAATGGTATGAACAGCCCAGGTCTTGCTTCTCCCACACACGATGATGTCTACCGAGACCATGGACCTCCCTCGGTGAGCCGCCATAGAATGAGCGTCACCAGCAGTATGTCTGAAGAGAAGGAAAATGGCGAGCAGATGATTCCTCGCAACAAACTTAGCCCTGAGATGCGATATGCCGGTAGCGCAAGCTCGTCCGGACGTGGATCTCCCGCACGAGGCTTTAGAAGTGCTGCATCATATCGCGACGACGATCATGCACCAGCACCTTCTCAACGGCCTATGTCTTCGCTGCCACAGCCTACTGGAGGTAATGGTGCCGAGAGCTGGAGAAGGGCAGCAGAGGTAACGAGTCAGCTGAAGGCCCGAATTGAACAGATGAAGGTATGTCAATCCAAGACTGACGTTTGATATGACGGAGACTGACCATCCACAGGCCAAGCAAGGGCTCGCTCGACCTTAGGAGCATTGTTAGAAACTCGGCGTGCAACGATTGTTTGTTCTAGTACTTTAACGATGATGATTTTTGGGAGGTTTACGGCGGAAAAGCTGGATGGGTACTCCTGGGACTGACACAGACGGTCCTGGTCAGGTTGCATTTTCACGGCGTTGGAAGTTGTGCCACCATCTGTCTTGAGTGTTTTCGCTTCTCTTCGAGGGTCTGATAGAATTACACATGGGCCAAGGCTGTGTTTGAGATTTTGCGAAGCAATGCCCGCGGCGGGTCAGAGATACCTAGTTTTTTTAATGCATCGGGTTGGTGATTTGCTTCATATTACATACAGTACAGTATTCATTTCAAGCGTGATATCAGTCTTTGTCAAGTCAGGTTTTCGATTTAAACGTAGTATCTTGTGACATCAACTCATTAACCGACTAGTAGGAAATAAATACAGTAAATCCCGGAACTCCGTTATGATCGCTAAGCGCTTTAGCTCAACTTGGTCATTGCGACAGCAAGTTATTCCTTCTTGTCCTTCTTACCCTCAGATTTAGCATCCTTCTTCTCATCGGAGTTGTCCTCCTTCTTGCCTTCAGACTTGTCCTTCTTATCATCCTTCTTGTCGGACTCTTGCTTGGAGTCGTCCTTTGACTCCTTGTCAGACTTCTCTTCACCGGATTCGGACTTCTTGTCCTCGTCCTTGGACTCATCCTTTGAGTCGGACTCCTTCTTGTCATCCTTGGAATCACCTTCGTCCTTCGACTCAGAGCCCTTGTCTTCATCCTTGCCATCATCCTTCTTCTCAGCATCCTTGTCCTTACTCTCGCTCTTCTCCTCGCCCTTCTTATCACCCTCCTCAGAAGCCTTATTCTTGTCGTCACCCCTCTTGGCCTTGTCATCGCCCTTGCTATCCTTCTTCTTACCCTTCTTCTCCTCTTCCTTCTTCTTCTTCTCTTCCTCCTTAGCCTTCTTCTCTTCCTCCTCCTTTTGCTTTCGTCGGCGAGCCTTCTCCTCAGCCTCTAGCTTCTCCCAGTTGGTGCTGTGATCAGCAATACCAGATCTGGCAAAGTTGTCGCTCAGACCCTTGGCAGTGATGGCATCGCCTTGCTTGATCTTGGCGCGGCCGATGAGGGAGATGAAGATCGCAAAGCCGACCATAGCTGTGAGAAGGAAGCGGTATGAGCCGTACCATCGAGGTGCCCATCCCTTTGTCGCAGCGCGGGAATCGGCAAAGTACAGAGCGACGAAAGCCATGAATTGAGATGTGAGTGCGTACTCTACGGGGAGCATCAGAGTTGGCCATGCGACAATAGAAGCTGCAAGGCCCATGCCGTAGCGGAAACGGGTTCGTTCACGAAGGGGTTGCTTCTCAGCATACTCGAGACCCTGATGACAAGCGATTAGCTAAATGCGTAGTTATTGGGAAGCTTCCGACCTACCCAATGAATAGCGCCGAGGAAAGAGATGATGACAGCACCATATCCAAGCTGGATAGGCTCGAGAGCGTCAAGCAGGTATTTTGCCGTGTCGTGATCGATCATGATAGCATCGTAGAAGGAATTGCCTGTAGGAATGGGCTTGTTCAAGTCCCAAGCGAGGAAGACAGTCGACAGCGACGTTCCCAGGTAGGGCAGGGTACCAGCCAAACCGAGAATCCTCGACTCGCGCGGCACATCTGTGAAGGTAAAGGTATCTTTGACAACTTCCTTTGAACCGTTAGAATTTTCAAATTAGGTGCTACGTTTGGTTGAAACTTACAATATCATGCTTGAGCTCGCTAGTCATGTCCTGATCAGCGCTCTTGGAGCCCTGAGCTGTAGACGCAGCATTGGCAACCGAACTCTTAGATGAAACAACACTTGGGTTGGACTGGAGGAGCTCTTGTCCCCGCTTGCGCTCAGCTTCAATGTCAATGGGCTGCTTGGGAGGAGGAGGATTTTCGTCATCGGATTTGCTAGAGTATACGGCGCGTTGCTGACGCAAAAGAGGCGCAATTGATGCGCGGGGGAGGAATAGCGAAGCTCGATTGGAGGAAGCTCTCGAGGCAATGCCCCAAAGGGAGCGAGAAGAGGTACGGAACATTGTCAATGTGATGGAGTAGAGTTCAATTAGAAGCAGGCGAGGAACTGCTGCAACCAGACCAAGCTGATTTCATCTGATGACCGAAAAGGTATAAAAAGAGAAAATAGTTGGAATGAGAGGACCAACTAAAACTGAAATACTGTGAGGATCGGTGTTTCAATGGAGACAGCACAATCATGGAAGCTTCCTGTTATTCCAAGATCTTGGAGCTATCTACGTAATGGCTTGTTTGCTACGGTTTCCTTAGTAATTGTTTGTACCTGGAACTGGAAATTGGGGAAACAGAATTTCTGCTTGTCACACGTAGAGACAGTCCCGTCCGGCCCGGGAAAGGAGACCAAGCCGTTCATGGATGTGCCCATTTTGTTCAGCTTTTGTTGTCACGCCTACATCATCGCGATGGACGTGAAGCTATGTCGTGACGTCATGAGAGTTGTATTCGGTGGAATAGCTCTAGACCTCAGGTGGGCAGCCATTCATATAAACACCAATCAGAAGTAGACCTTGAAAGTGAGAATGGCTTCTGGAATCGGTAATGATGAGACGATAAAATGCACAGATAGCCAAACCTTCTATCGTATTGTCGATATCGATAAAATAGTCATGATGTTTTACAGTTCAACTCTGCCAAGTCATTGTCCAGAAGATCTTCCATGATGCCCTACCACAAGTGCCCTGTGCTTTGATGTGCTCCAGGGCCAGGTCCAGCTGTTGGCAGCTCTAAATTCTGCGGTAGGTACCCGACCACGTTGGAACGTAAAAAATAAAGCCACCGTCGATTCGAAGCCAATTCGGTACTTGATCCTCCACCACAATCATCACCAAATGACAAGTACCTCTGACAGCATCGTCATACACGCCACACCATTCCCCAAAACCGCTGCTTCCCACTTTTGCTCCGGGCCCAGCTGCGTCGCTCACTCACAGCCCGACACGAAACCCACCTTTTCAATATCTCCTCCATCACCGAGTTTCGTCCATCTTTTGTTACTCCAGAGGCATAATCGATAATACCCTCATCCACCGAATCCCGCTTTTCCCCTCTATTCCACCCAAAACCTCAAGGGGAAATCCCTTCGATACTGCCTCGAGTATAACCCCGCTCTACAAAGTCCTAGACCTCACACACGTTCATGCCCGAGGATAGCAGTCGCTTCACCGATCGAGCCTCGCATGGCACCCGTGTCAATAGCCACACGCCGACAGATGAGTCCTCGATAAAACAAATAACACGAACCCTACCTTTCCCTCCCCGGCCCGGGTTACGGCCACAACACCGCCAGAATGCTCGAAGGTCTCGTCGCTGGCCTGCTTAACCGGTTCCTGGGCATGTATGTCAAGAACTTCGACCCAACCCAGTTGAAAGTCGGTATCTGGTCCGGCGATGTCAAGCTCCGCAACCTCGAGCTGCGCCGCGAGGCACTTGACCAGCTCAAGCTTCCCATAAATGTCATGGAGGGTCACCTCGGCGAGCTTACACTCGTCATTCCCTGGTCAAACCTGCGCGGTGCACCTGTCAAGGTCTTTATCCAGGATGTCTTTCTTCTTGCCAGCCCGAAGGAAGAGGCTGAGTATGATCAGGACGAGGAAGATCGCAGGAAACAGCGCCTCAAGATGGAGAAGCTTGACAGTGCTGAGTTGCTCAAGGAGAGGAACCAGGAAGGCTTAAGTCAGGAGGAGCAGAAGAAGAGCCAGAGTTTTACACAGAGCCTGGTGACAAAGATCGTGGACAATCTCCAAGTCACGGTCAAGAACATACACATTCGATACGAAGACTCTATCTCAGCACCAGGGCACCCATTCGCCCTTGGTGTCACTCTTGAGGAGTTCAGTGCCGTCAGTACTGATGGTCAGTGGAAGCCTACTTTTATCCAAGACTCTAACACAGTCACCCACAAGCTGGCTACCTTGGGTGCTTTGGCTGTGTACTGGAATACCGATTCCACTCTTCTCGGAACTGGCCGAGAAGCTTCAACCTCTTCGGAAGAATTAATGCCACATGATGAAATGGTAGCAAAGTTTAGAGAAATGATTGGCAAAGACGCGCAAGAGAATGCAAACCATCAGTTCATCCTCAGGCCCGTCAATGGCCAAGCAAAGATCGAGCTCGACAAGTCGGGAGATATCAAGGTACCCAAGTTCAAGGCCAACTTACTTTTCGAGGAAATTGGTCTTGTTCTCGATGACGACCAATATCGAGATGCTTTGATGATGGTCGATTTATTCCATTACTTCGTTCGACACCAAGAATACAAGCGCCTACAACCAAAGAATGTCCGACCCAAGGAAGATCCCCGTGCTTGGCTCGAGTTTGCAGGTAACGCTGTGTTATCGAAGATTCACGAACGCAACCGTAAATGGTCATGGGACTACTTCCGCGAGCGGCGAGACGATCGAAAACGATATATCGAGCTGTTCAAGAAGAGAAAACAAGGCCATCAGATGTCTGCCGAGGAAACTGATGAGATCAATGCTCTCGAATGGAAGCTTACATACGAGGATCTGCGATTCTGGCGATCCTTGGCCCGCAACCAGCTCAAGAAGGAGAATGCTGAAGCTCTCAAGAACCAACCCCAACAACAGCAACAGCAACAGCAAGGCTGGATTTCGTGGGTCTGGGGCTCGAAGCCTCAAGAGAAGATTGAACAGAATGAAGAGAACACACAGATGACCGAGGAGCAGCGACAAGAACTCTATGAGGCCATCGATTGGGACGAGAAGAACGCTATCGCCGATGAAGTCGATGTCCCTCGTGAGGCTATCAAGATGTGCATCGAGACGTCCCTTAGCACAGGTAGCTTCACACTCAAGAAGAGCCCTCACGATCACGCAGCGGACCTCCTCAGTCTGCACTTTGATGTGTTCAAAGCCAAGATGCTACAGAGAAAGGACTCAGTGCTTGCTAATGTCAGCCTTGGTGGCCTTCGCGTCAACGATGGCACAACACCAGACTCAGTCTACCCTGAGATTGTCCGAGTCAAGGATGCACCGACTGACAAGCAGCGTAAGCGACTGTCGTTGGCCGAACTCGAGCAGCCAGAGGAAGACCCTTTCTTCCAGTTTGAGTTTGAGCAGAACCCCATCGAGCGTGAGGGTGATATTGCCGTTGTCGGAAAGATGAAGCCTCTTGAGGTTATCTGGAACCCCAACTTTGTTGTTGGTATCGCCGACTTCTTCAGACCGCCTGAGCGTCACATGGAGTCTATCACCGCCCTCATGGAGAGTGCTGGTGCGACTGTTGAGAGCATTCGTGAGCAGACTCGAGCGGGTCTCGAGTTCGCCCTGGAGGAGCACAAGACGATCAATGCTGAGTTGGATCTTCAAGCACCTCTGATCATTGTGCCTGTCAGCATCACCACCGAGAACTCTACATGTTTGATTGTAGACGCTGGTCACATCCACGTCAACAGTGAACTGGTAGACCAAAGCACAATGAAGGAGATCCAGTCGAAACAAAAGCAGGCATACAGCGACGAAGATCTCAAGCGACTCGAGTCTGTCATGTACGACAAGTTTATTGTCAAGCTGACATCGACCCAAGTCCTCATCGGACCCTCAGTTGAGGACACCAAAGCTCAATTGGTCGAGAAGACAGATGAAGCTCATCTCCATGTTGTTGAGCGAATCAATGTGGACTTCATTGTCGAGACCTCCATTCTACCAAAGGCTCCCAATTTGACCAAGTTCAAGGTCTCGGGACATCTGCCAATGCTTCACGCCACCGTCTCCGACACCAAGTATAAGAATCTCATGAAGGTTATTGATGTGGCTATTCCCAAGTTTGGCGGGCCTGCACCAAGATTGGAGGAACGCAAGGAGCCATCTCGTCCCCGTCTTAAGAGCAACTCATCCAACCGATCACGAAGAAAGTCTCAACGCGAGCGAAGACAGTCCACTCCTTTCCCATTTATGCAATCGGAATCCGCTGTCGTGCTTGAAGATATGGATGAAGACGACGATGATTTTGAGGATGCTCCAGATGGCGGTGATGCTGAGCAACTCCGAGTTCAGCAACGTATCTTTGAGTTCAAGTTCAAGGTTGATACCCTCAAGGGTTCACTTTACCGAAGTGATCCTGATGGACAGAAGCCTGATGCATTGCTTGTCGAATTAGTGGCCGAGAGATTCGACCTGGAGTTTTACACCAGACCCTTCGACATGGTAGCTGATGTTTCACTTGGCTCAGTCACCGTCGATGACTTTGTGGACAACCCATCTGCTGAATTCAAGTCGATAATCTCGTCTGGTGACAGTGAGGATCTCAAAGAGGGCCGCAGCTTGGTTCACGTCAAGTTTGTCAAGGTCAACCCCTTGTCTCCCGAGTTCATGCCCGTGTACGAGGGAGTAGAGACCAATATCAACGCTGTCATATCCACAATCAACTTGGTCGTTACCCGAAAGACACTGCTCACGCTACTGGACTTTATCCTCATCACTTTTACGAATAACGAAGACGAGTCGAATAATAACAAGGCTATAATGGATGACGACGACGATTCGGAAAGCGTTGATACTGCTGTAGCGGTCGTCAATGCGCCCTCCGTAAACTCCAACACAGGATCTATTCGCGTCAAGGTTGACTTGAAGAGTATTAGGCTGATCCTCAATAACGATGGAATCCGTCTCGCTACGTTGTCCTTCAACAAGGCTGACGCCGGCATCTTCCTCCGAGGCAAGACTATGCGTATTTCGGCTCGACTTGGCGATCTTTCGCTCGTTGACGACGTCAATCTCGGCGTCTCTGAGGATTCACACCTTCGAAAGCTCGTGACCATCCAGGGGGATGACTTGGCAGACTTCCGTTACGAGACTTTCGACTCTTCCAACCCTAAGGCCTACCCAGGGTATGACAGCTCGGTCTTCCTCCGTGCTGGTTCCGTCAAGGTAAACTTTGTGGAGGAGCCATTCCGCAAGATCATTGACTTCTTGGTCAAGTTTGGCAAGATGCAGGCTCTTTATAATGCCGCACGCCAAGCTGCTATGAACCAGGCCAATCAGTT